TATCATATTATTGTATAGGTAAACAGTTTACGTCTGATTTAAGAAGTTTTGTGGCTTAATTAAAACATTATTGCTTTCGTCATAAACAAATGGTTTCCGTGGTCATCCAAACGACACGTGTGGCACTAATTTGAGCGATATTACGTAGCTGTTTACGAAAGCTTAAATAGGCTATTCAGAAGAACCTAATTTGTGACGTAATTTGTTTGTTTATGTGACATTTCTCACCCTAACATTTTGTGAATAATCTCATTACAAGAAACCATGTTCGGTTACGAAATAAAGCATTGTGTTTTTACTGTTCCAGTCTTGTTTACAAACTTAGAAATTCTCTAAGAATTTCTTCGAAATTGTAAAATGAGAAGCCAAATTAAGAATGTTTTTGCGAAAGATATCAAAGAGGCTGTTCCGAATCCATACACCTCAATGCACTAAGCGCGCAGAAAAAAAGTTTATTCATCTTAAGTTCAAATCAAAACTGTAACTCTCTGGTAATTGTAATGATACAACAAACATAGTAAACACGTGTATCCATATTAATAAGTATTCTAAAATTATTATACGCGAGCTTTTGTTTTATGTATTTATTTCACTCGCTGTCAGTGAGAATAGTTCGTCTTGTAAATGACTGGAGAGTGGTATCTGTTTTCTGTTTTTTTCTATAACAACACTCACCTTTTAACTCTATAAAGGTTAAACTTTAACAAATAATACAGTTTAATCACATAATAATAGTTTACAAGTAAGAATAGTGAAATATTTTCTGACTAAATATTACGCATACAAGTGATTGGAATATCAAATAATAATATACTATGGTGTCGAGGGAGGAGGGGAAGAATGTCTTTAATACAATTAAGTGGGACTATGATAAATAATTTATGAGTTGGTAGCCTTAGATATAATTTTCTTCAGTATGCTGGCCGCACAAAGCTATCGCGTGTATGAAAATTGTTAATAAACACTATTTGTTGTATATTTAGGTTGCTCATTTCAATTTAATTTTTTTGTGATTGCTGTAACCATGTTTTTAGTAGGTTATTATTTTGAAAATAAGATTTCATAGCTGTAAGTTTTTGGCAATTTCGTTACAGTTCATTTACGTTCCTAAAAAAAGCAAATAAAGTAAACCTTCACTAAATCTTGAGACTTAATACATTTCCAGCTGCTGCAAACAAAACGTTTTTTTCATGCCTCTTTTCCAACTAGTTTTATATTTATCGTAAATGGCGCAGTGTCATGATATAAAAGACTGTTTGGTTTAGATATTAGTGATTAATTTATTTTTGTGAGTGAATATTTTATTATTGTTTAGTTTTTGTCATAATAAGAGTTAAAAACAGACGATTGTAGGAAGTTTTGTTAATAATTCATTGATGTTGAGAATATAGAAGGCGGACAGACGAGTAAGTGATATAAATAGCGTGAGACGAGTGGGAAGTAGCAGACAGATAATAGCAAAGGAGAATAAAGTTGGTGAGAAGTTAACTACCGTAGAAGTGATAGGCCTAACGATTGAAATAGGCCTAACGTTTAATATGTTAGAGTGAAACTAACAGTAGAAACGAAGATAAGAAAAATAATTTTATTTCGTCGAAGCGTGATTCTAAAGTAATTTAATCAGCCTAAGTGCACTTTGACAAAAGGAGCAGAGACCAAACGATTCCAGTAACTCAAGCCACAATTGTAAGTGAATTACGACGAATACTAGTGCGATGGAAATAGAGAAGATAGTTCGGCTTGTCAACTGAAATTATAAAGTAATTGAATAGGCCTAAGTGGATAGTTGACAAGAAGGAGAGAACTACATATATAGTATTTATGATATGTCCATAATATCTATGGTGTTGAAGAATTTATTGTACATATGTTAACTTGTTCTGAATATATATATTATTTTGAAAACAAGTGAAGTGCATGCTGTTTATTCATTGTTGAACTTATCGTTAATAAGTCACAGACACCTACTGTAGAAAAATCCTAAACCCAACAACAGCATAGTATATACTTATATACTATTAAGAAATATAACTAAAGGCCTTTCTATTTTGACAATTGGCAAAAAGAAGAATATATATTTTAAATTCTGACACGCGGGTTAGCCTTGCGTTAGAGCTCTGGATTTCGGGACAAACAAACCGCCCCCCAGTGGCACAGCGGTATGTCTGCGGACTTATAACGTTAGAAATCGGGTTTCGATACCCGTGGTGGGCAGAACACAGATAGCCCATTGTGTAGCTTTGTGCTTAACCAAAAACAAACAAGCGAACAAACCGCGTCCGAATCCGTACGATGCCACAAAATTATTACCGCATTTTAAGCTCTGAATGCTTTATAAAGTTGATAGTGGTTGCTGCTAACTGGCTGCCTTCCCTTTTGTCAGTATTCCAAAATTATATGCCGCAGTCCTTAATGATAAAGCTGCTAATTTAGTGTTAAACTTGGCTATTAATGATATTTTACCATAACGTAGAGTTAAGTAGCTTGTACTCCTTTCAAATAATGGAATTGATAAATAAATGTTGACCATTTTGTTGAATATTCATGTTTATAATAAAATGCAATACCCAATAGAATTTCATCGTGTAATTACCATAAAAAAAACAACCAGAAGGTGCCCACGTGCTCATTAGCCATTTAAGTTGTTTTTGGAATATTTATCTTGATCTGAGCGTTTAACGTTACAGTTTTTAAGTTAGTGTTTAAGATTTATTCTAGTAGCCAGGTGATCTTGCTGTTTTTTGTTGTTGTTTAATTGTCTACGTTGGTTAAGATCAGTGGTAAATGGACGGACAAAAAGCTAGAGAAGGTATTACTCATTTGAGGCATTATGGAAATCATTTTAAGATACTCCTTTGGTGGGTTTTTTTCGGAGCTGTTTACAGTGACAATCGCAGAGCCAACCTTGGACCTTCAGATCCTCAGCCAAACACGCTATCCACCAGGCCACGCGCTCGGCCTTTTCTTTGATCGTATAGTAACAGCAATTTATTTCTGCAAACTTAAACAACAGCAATCGTTAGCTATTTAGCTGTAACTTGTTTATTTCAATAGTGCACTTTCATTAGAAAGACTACTGAATCGGTGTTGTCACCAAATGTTGGCAGAGTAGTGGAAACAAGTATGAGAAACACAAGTAATATACCCGTAGTATCTAACAAGTTTTTTAAATCACGTTAAAAATAACCCTATAAACTGTAGCGTTTTTGACAGGTTGATCTGCTTTCTTCAGGGGTAAAGACACGCCCACCTATTTTAACATATGTTTTTTTTTTACATGAAACACTAGAAAAGACGTTATTAAAACTACGTTCAGTTTTATTGTGATGCAGTATTATCCAGATTACTGAGAAAAAAACTATATTACTGATTTGGTAAATTTGAATAAATGGCGTTGCTATTTTAACCCTTAACGGAACCCGTACACACATGGCCTAAACTGCCAAATTATAGACTCCTAAGATTCTGATATAGGCATTCCTCATTTTGAACCACAGACCACAGCCAACCAGAAATCAGAGACTTCATGACTCATTTTAACTGGTTGCTTAAACATATAATATTATAAAGATACGTAGGCCACGTATGGCATTTAACTAAATTTCTAATTGAAATCCGTTTGTATATGTACACATATATATATGTTTCTAGAACGAGGGGTGGAGGGCTAGAATGATAACTGCTGTAGCTTTGTTAGTTTAATAGCTCAATCACTTGCACAAAGAATTGAATTATCCATGGTTCGTTGTTAAAGTGGATATTGTGAGGCTTCAAGAGTTCAAAGATAGAAAAGAAAAGTCGTAATTGAAAATATACTGTTCATAATACTTAAGCAGTGACAACTCGCAAAACCCCAAACAAATTGTTCTGGTATCCCTGATTTAGTACTTTAGTCTCAGGCCTAAAAATGTTTAGAGGGAACTGTACTTTAGTCTTAGGCCTAAAAATGTTTAGAGGGAACTGTACTTTAGTCTTAGGTCTAAAAATGTCTAGAATGAGCTGTACTTTACTCTTAGGCCTTAAATGTCTAGAGTAAACTGAGAAGTTAAATGTTTAGTTTCAATGATAAGATTATTTTTCTTTTCATTGGTTAGCTGAGACACGACTTATAGCCAAAATTAAACAGTGGAACAGGTACTGATTAAACAACTAGCTTAATGTATAACATGAAGGACGTAAATCAGGGCTAAATCCGACTGTCATCCGAAGTGTTTAATGCTTGTTTAGTGGTATTTCTTCATCCTTAATCGTTTTTACGTTTAAATGTTATATATTACTAAAAACACAAAACCAGTGGAGCCTGTAAAATACTGTTACGACAGCGAAAGTCACGTGACGCTGGGAGCATGCGCGGTTGAGTTTCTAGAAGGATCGTCACTTAGCGGGCAACCTCACGAACGTCCCAGCGTTTGCTAGACGCCCTCTTTTTTTATTATATAAGCCGGAGATAGATATAGAGACACA